AGCAAAGGAAATCATCAATAGAATGAAAAAGCAACTTAAGAATGGTAGAGAAAATGTAGCCCATATATCTGATAAGAAGTTAATATCCAAAATATATAAGGAACACCTATAACTCAATTGAAAACAAAATCAAATAAAAGGGACTTTTATTTATTGGGTTGTGCAGCTCAGTGGTTGGGTGTTTGCCTAGCATGTGTGAGGCACTGGGTTCGATTCTCAGCCCCACATATAAATAAATAAAATAAAGGTCTATTGACAACTAAAAAATATTTTTAAAAATCAAGTAAAAAATAAACTGATTAAAACATGAGCGAAGAATTTGAATAAACATTTATCCAAAGACAATATACAAATGGATATCAGGTAGAGGAAAAGATGGTCAACTTTATTACTCACCAGGGAAATGCAAATCAAAACCAAAATGAAATATCACCTTATATTTTATAGGTGGCTATTATCAATTAAAAAAAAGATAGTGGCAAGGATGCAGAGAATTTGACGCCTGGATGTGGAGAATTCAATACACTCATGGTAGGAATGTAAACCATTACAGCCATTACCGAAAATTGAAGTTTCCAAAAAAAATTTTTTTAAACTATCATGTGACTCATCAATCCCACTTCCATTGCATGTTTTTGCATAGAAATCAGTTGTATCGCAATAAAGGTGTTTAAAAAATAAAATAAAAGCACCAAAGAAAGTTTTCCTCAAAGAACCTCAATCCTCTAGTTTATTTCTATAATAGTATCTTGTATATAGGGGCACCCACATTTTCATTAACCTGACAAATTGATGCATGTTTCACAAATACCCATATTTTCTATGAATAAAGGCATGGGCCAGTAATTTGGGTTTTTTCATGTACTTTCTGCCTTTGTTAATATAAAAAGTAAAGTTCTTTTTAGCTTTTTAATTTATTTTTCCTAAGGAAAGTCATCTAATAAGGATTTTACTAGTTTTTAGTTTGAAATAAATTTAAATCCAGGCTTAGGCCTATTAGTATATTAACTTACCTTCAGTTCTGAAATGATAAAACAATAAAAATACAGATATTGTTCATAATCAAGAAAACAAATGGTACATATCTTGTTTTTCAAGTTCACAGGCTGTCTGCTTCAGCAAAGTGTCTACATACTGCAAGTTTTCTTTCCTCAAATTTTGTAGCATTCTTTCATTACCTTGTTGCTAACTCCTCTCCTCATTCCATGCATTTGTAATTCTACTTTACACAAGTGTGTTATAGAATTAATTCTTTTTTTAATATTTATTTTTAGTTGTAGTTGGATACAATATCTTTAATTAAATTTTTATTATTATTTATTTTTATGTGGTGCTGAGGATTGAACCCAGTGCCTTGTCCATGCTAGGCAAGCACTCTACCGCTAAGCCACAACCCCAGTCCTAGATTTAATTCTTATCTCAGTTTCTCACCATCTTTCTTAATTTTTTCTCTGTGAACACCCTTTTGCTTTTGGAAGTGCTAACCTTTATATTATTATTATTATTCAACTCAATGAAAAATATAGGGACTAAGCGTTAGATGGAAATGTTGCATTTTAAAGGTCAAGTAAATAGAAATCTGGAGATTAGAGAGCTCTACTTCACTTATACTAAAACCAGAGATGAAAATATGGGAACCGTATGAAATTTTCTTTCTTTTCTGTATCCCACATCTATTATCCTATTTGCCTGAGGGCCTCTGTGGTAGTAGTGGGAACAGGGAGAAAGGAGAAAGGAAGGGAAGAAGAAGAAAGCAAGAGTTGAATAAAATTAAAAATTGCAAAAATGCATATAGCTATCATTTAATGGGAAATATAAGCACCTAAGAGACATACAAGATTGAAATAGGAGAGGGAAGAGTAGGTTTTTTTGTATCAAAGAAACAAACTGAATCTGAATCTGAAGTTTCAGTATTCTAAATTAACCTACCTATAGTTCTTCAGGGGTATATTTACACCTAGTCGTCATTTTCAGTGATACACTCATTGCATGTCCATATGTGTGAAGCTGATTTGGGGCACAATCCCTCCTCTCTCTCCCCTACCTCTGGCCTCTCTTTCTCCAATCTGAAGATACACAGCACATTCAACTGAACTCTGGTTTTCCAAAAATGTTTTAGTACTCCCAGCCACCCCTTTCTTCTTTCTGGTCTCAAATCAATTCTTATTCCCAGATTGTGCAAGTAGGTAGTTGGTTGGCCTGGTTATCCTATTAAAATAATCAGATAAAAATTAGTAAAAAATTTTGTTCAAAAGGTGTATTTTAAAGGAGGAGGTTGTTAATTCTAGTAAGTCTATGTGCATTCTCTGGTTCTTGTATAAGTGACTTTTCATCAATGCCCAGGAAAAAAACCCTACCCCCAAAACAATTAAAACACAACCATTTAAGTGGAAAATGTATATAGGAATTATTTTTGAAATGAGGTACATAGGACAGTTCCTGCTCTAGTTAGAGGAACTTTCATTTACTACTCCCATCAATCCAGAAATCTGATCAGCCTTTTCCCATTTCTCCCCTCACTTTCACAAATAACATACTTTGCAGTAGAATAAGGTATTATTTGGGGAGAGTGAAGAGCAGAAGCACACTGAGCAGTGGCAGGCCTACAATCCAGTCAGTCTTGCACTAACAAAATAAAAGAAAGAGGAAGGGATGAGAAGATACATAACACATATTAACTTTCACTAAAAATTAAAACCAAAGAAAAGTAAGAACAATACAGTGAATGACCATATAAACTTTAGTAATACTCATCAAGTCAACATTTCAAATTTGTCTTACCTATCTTTGCTCAACCATTTGAGAGTAAGTTGCACATATCACAAACTTTTATCCCTAAATATTTTAGTAGTATTTCTTAATAAGGGCACCCTTTTTCATTATATAGTACAATTATGAAATTCAAAAAGCTTAAAATTGAGACAATACTTTTGCCTAATATTCAAATTCAAATCCATATTCAAATTTCACCAATCATCTTTTTTTTTTTTTTAAATATTTATTTTTCAAGTATCGGCGGACACAACATCTTTGTTTGTTTGTGGTGCTGAGGATCGAACCCGGGCGTCACGCATGCCAGGCGAGCACGCTACCACTTGAGCCACATCCCCAGCCCAACTAATCATCCTTTATAACATGTTTTTCTAGGATCACACATTGCCATAACTGGCATGTTTCTTTAATCCCTTAAATCTAGAACTGTTCCTCAGCCCTTTGTCTTTCACGACACTAACATTGTTTAAGAGTACAGGTCAGGTATCGGGTAGAATGTTTCTCAACGTACATTTTTCTGATTGTCGCTTTGTGATAGATTCATAATATACATTTTGTTTCCAGGGATATTGAATATGAAATACGTCTTCAATGCCTCACATCAGGAAGCACATCATGTTATTTTATTCATTAATAGTGACATCAACTTGCATCACTTGGTTAGGGTGGCAGCTGTCAGCTTTATTCACTGTAAAGTTGCCTTTGCTAACCCTTTCTAATAATAAGCAATCCAAAGATACTTTGAGATTGTGTACATATCATTTTCCCCAGATTGTCCCACCCAATGATTTTAACACCATTTAACAGATTTGTCTGAATCAATTATTACCATAATAGTTGCAAAATGGTGATTTTGTAGTTTCACCATTTCTTCCACATGCATTTGTTTGGCATGCCACTGTCAAGAACTGTAATTTCTCCCCCCTTACATATTTATTTAAAATAGATTGTATTTTATTTATTATATTATTATATTTATGTATTTAAAAGTTAAAGTGAAAATATGGGTTCTTTTTTAAAATTCAATGTTTTATAATCCATATCTATCATTATTCTTTTTTGATACTTAAATTGCCTCTGATTTGGTAAGTGGGGGTAACTTCAAGCTGTCTTCTTTTGTCTTTTGACATATCCTTGACATATACAAGAAATCTCCTTGCTTTCTGGTACAAAATCTTTTAAGAGCACTTTATACTTTCCCTGTCTCTTCCTTCAAATGAGCCAATTTGCTAAGGAGTCTGACTCCTTTTAGTGGAGAATGGTATTCACAAACCAAGATCTGGAGGCACATAATATATTTCAAAATATTAAAATTTTGCTGTTCCTGTTTTACCATATGAAAGACTGGTGTGATAATTCATAATCCTAGCATTACCTGTATGATCTTGGCAATTCCCTTCATTCCTTGCTGCCTCCCTCGTCATATCAAACGGAACTGGATTAAAAACACATTTCTTAATCTTTTCAGGGTCACTCACAGTTTGGGAATCCGATAAAAGCTATGATCCCCTTTCCCCAGGGACACTCTCAAATAAGCAAAACTTTGCCTACAATTTCAGGGCGTTCCAGCTTCCAAAGGCCACTGGAGCTTCCAAATGCCTGGGTTAAGAATCTCTAGGGTCTGTCTCTTCAATTCTGTGAGTCTATATGCTGTCAGAATGAGTCCTCAGCGACATCAAAATGTGGAAGGACATTTATAGCAACAACATGAGAAAAGGACACAAAGAAAGAAGCCTGTGAGCAACGCGTTACTCAGCCACAGTTCTTTGCTGAAGCCAAATTTAGGGAGCACTCTACTCATAGGTGAGAGGTTTTGGCGGGAAGGTCCGCAGGTGGGCGGAGAACGCCGGGGCAGAGCAGCAGCCCACAGGCCAGATGCAGGTCGATGCACACCTCCGAACGGCCCACCAGGGCTCGCTCTTGCCCTACCGCTGGAAGGCCGGGAAACCGGGCGGGCCGGGCGGCGACCCCGCCCCTGGCAGCAGCGAGGCGGAGAAAGAGCGGAGGGCGCCGAAGCCCGGAAGGACCGCGCCGGCCAGGTCCGCGCCCCTCCCCGCGCGCCGTCCCACCCTTTCTCCCTCGCGCCGCCTACGTCGGCGGTGCTCCGGTCGCCATGGTGACCAATCGAGGCCCGGTCCCGCCCCCGCCCCCTGCCCCGGCCCCCTGACGTCGGCGCACGTCAGCGGCGGCGCGCGCCTGGCTGGGCCCTGCGGAGCGGGAGGGAAGGAGCGAAGGAGCGATCGGAGCGGCCGTCGCCCGAGCCGAGCCGCGCAGCCGGTCCGCCCGCCCGCTCACGCTCCAGTCGCCGTGTCTAGCAGCGGGGCCCAGCATGGTCATGGCGGATGGCCCGAGGCACTTGCAGCGCGGGCCGGTCCGGGTGGGGTTCTACGACATCGAGGGAACGCTGGGCAAGGGCAACTTCGCGGTGGTGAAGCTGGGGCGGCACCGGATCACCAAGACGGAGGTGCGGCCCGGGGCTCGGCGGGAGCGTCCGAAGAGAGGGTTTGGAAGAGAAGCTGTTTACTGAAAGGGCAGGCTGCAGTGGTGCGACCGGGAACACCAGAGAGGCCGCGCCACTTGCTTAGGCGAGCGGGCCTGGGACCGTGAGGACCCAGAGGTGCTGGGGGTCGGTGAGCAGCGAAGGGACCCGGGCCCGGTCACCCAGACCCGAGTGCCGTCCGTAGGGAGCCCGGTCCCCCCGGGCTTTGCCTTCCCCTACGCCACCCCCGGTGGCCCACGGAATTTCTCCCAGAGCCTCCCACCCGGGCCGTGACCTGGTCTGTGGCCTCGGCTCCGGAGCCCAAGTTCCGCGTCTTCCCCGCTTTCGACTGGGGGTGGGGTGGGAGGGGAAGTCTCGGTGCTCCCGGGCTGCGCGGTGAGAGATGTCGCCAGCCCGTGGAGGGGACCTCCTGCGCTCGGGCTCCGCGCACGGGGATCGCGCGGCCCCCGACCCTGGCTTTCCTCCTGCCCAGCTAGGAAGGGGCCTCCGTGTCCGGGAATGCCCTGGCGGCCACTGTCCTTCTTTCCCTCCTTTTGCCTTGCAAGGTCTCTGATTTGGTGTCTGGCTAGCTGGATCTCTTGCCTGAGGCATTTCCATCTAATACTCCAGACAAAAGAACTGGTTAAAATGGTCATCTCGATATTTGTACAGTTGGTGGGTTGGTTTTACTTGTGTAGGGTTGTCCCTTTACCAGGTGTGCATTCTGTCTGTAAAAATGAATTCCTTAAACCACATCAGAATGCCTCTCTACTCCTAAAGCCCTCAACTGCTTCCTGACCGCGAATCCAGCACACCCCCCCCCCTCCATTGCACATTCTAATGCACCGCACATATTTTCTCACAAGTCTCTGTTCTTACCTAACCCGCCCCCCTTCCTTCCACTGCTTCAAGCTGCTCTCCTCAGGGTCTCTATTTTAAGATGTGCAAATTAAATATCTTGGGGGGGGAAAAGAAACAAAACCATTCTGTAGAATAAAGCCTAGTGGTTTTGACATACTCTATTCTGCCTCGTTGTAATTGTCACTGGAGTTTCACCATTTTTCAGTTTTCCCCATAGTTTCATTCTGTTCCTTCCCTCCCCCCGCCCTTGTTAGTACTAATGCACTAGACTTTGAGGACTTTGAATTTAGAATAAAGTAGTACTTTTATTTTTTTCTAGGATGACTTACGTAAGGCGAAGGGCATTTGAAAGGTTGAATGATTTTCGTAGTAGTAGTATTTAAAAGTTTTGCTTAATGTCCATTTTTAAAAAGAAGGGGAATATATCATGTCATCTTCACTTTTTGCCCTCTACTGATCCTAAAGCAACCCAAATCTGAATTATTTGAGGCATTAGGACCAAGGTCATAAATTTTTCTTGCACAAATTTGGCGGTGTTTCCAGTTTTAGCGATTTAGACTGAGATGTAATGATAATATGACTATAATGACATTACTAAATCTTTGCATAGTGTAATCTGATCCCAGTATTTTTTTTTTAATGAAGAAAGTGGTTCATTCCACTAAAGAGCCATGGCTGAATGTCATGCCATTTTCCTTTAAGTTACATAAAAAGGAAAACACTTAAAACGTGTATTTCATATGAGCCCTTGTTTAATGATTATCTAAAAATCAAACATATTGTACAGAATCTCTAAGTATAGAGATTCTGTAACACTTTTGAGCTGTATTATTACATGACTGAATATCAGTCCCATGGTTCATAATATTTTTTCAACAGCTCTTTATTAGTATTACTAGTAAATTTTACTTATGTTATTTTGTCAGGTCAAATTTAGTTAATATAACATCTGTTTAAGAACTCTATTAGTGGAAGTGATGGTAACTGATACTTTCTCTTGAGGTTGACAGTTCCAATGGTGTCTCTTTCAAGCTGATACAGCTTAATGAGCTAGGGGGCACTGTGGAGTAATGTCATCCTTCGGCTATCAGATAGCTTGAGATCAAATGCATTTGTAATTGAAGTCACCAGTCAAATCATGAAAGAGCACTCAGATCCTAAATTGTGTATTATATATTTGTGAAAAATAATTTGTGTTAAACGCTAAATTGCTGGTTTGCAGATCCCATCCCCCTTGTGCTTCTTAAAAGAAATTATCATTAATTAAAATTAAAAAAGAAATAATGTGAACATCACTAAGTATGAGTGTGAGCTTTTGTGGTAATTTGGTGTGATTGGAGATGTTAAGATAGAGATGGATGAAGAAAATGGCCTGGCAATTGCTGAACAAAAGTTTTGGGAGATCTTAAAATATGTAAAGTGGATCTGTGAACTTTCACACATAATTTGCTTTAAGAATTGTTTAGCAAGAACACAAATACAGTGGTTTCGTAAAGTACACTATTTGTTGCCAATGAGTTTTTTTTTTAAATCAGTAATTGTTACCTTCATTGGATAAATATTTGCATCTTTGATAAATACAACTACCTTAAAACTACATTGGGCTGGGGGTGTACCTCAGTGGGGAAGTGTTTGCTTAGTAAAGCCTAAGGCCCTGGGTTCTCTACCTAGCACCACAAAAACAAACATCACCACCACCACCAACAAAAAACCCTAATGTTTCATATGCTTTAACATCAATGTAAATTTATGTGTTTTAAAACTCAAAGATCAGCCAGGTGCAGTGGCACACGCCTGTAATCCCAGCAGCTTGGGAGGCTGGGGCAGGAAGATCACAAGTTCAAAGCCAGCCTCAGCAATGGCGAGGCACTAAGTAACTCAGTGAAACCTTGTCTCTAAATAAAAATGCAAAATAGGGCTGGGGATGTGGGGATGTGGCTCAGTGGTCCAGTGCCCCTGAGTTCAATCCCCGGTACCCCTCCCCACCCCACCCCACCCCCCAAAAAAACCTCAGAGATATTTTTTTCCCAAGTTTGCTCATGGAGAAAATTTTAGGGCTTAGCTTAAACATCTGTGTGATGAACAATTGAATTCTTTTATTTTTAATTGATTCTTCTCCATCTCTTTATCTGTATCACTCAAAAATGATAAATTTTCTGCAGAGTTTGGGAGATCCAAATCTGTTTCCCTTTCAGGGAAAAAAATTAGTAGAAAAAAGAGATCTTCATTTTGTCTAATCTATCAAACAGCTTAACATTGTTTAAGAAATATATTTACATCATCTCAAGCGATATATGTATGTTAGATCTCTATAAATTTTGCATTCAGAATGGAAGGCAGCTGGTGGTAGAATCTAACTTCCTAATATAATACTTCATAAAAGCTTGTAGTACTGGTTTGTGGCTTATGAATTAGAGAAGCTAATTTTATAAAATTAGTGTAATGGGAAAAGGATGATAGCATTTAGGCTATTAAACTATTTTAGGAAATAGCAGTTGCTAGTTTTCTAGTCTGTGAGTATCCTTGAGTAATGTTTTATTTTATGAATAAAATACTAGGAAACAACTTTTTCCTTCTAATTAACTGTGTAGTTTTTTTGTCTCTTAAGCAAAATTATGAAAAAGCCCTTTTGTTGTTTTCCAGTGGTTAAAAAATGTTTCGCTATAGAAAATGCTAAGAATAAAGAGGCATATAGTACAAAAAATATATAATTTTTCCACCAGTGGGAATAAACCATTCGTAACATTATGTCACATTTCCGTCTAGTCTATTTAAATGTGTTTTTCCATAGATGAAAGTTCATGATACACATATATAAGTTACATTATTTTTTTCCATTTAACACTAATGCTGAAGCATTTTGCTTATTGTGTATAACTTTATAACAACATTTATAATAGTTGGATAGTGTTCTGCCTTGTAAATGAATCCCCTTTTTTTTCCCTACTTTTTCAACTGGTGCATTACAGTTATACATGCTGATGGGAGTTGTTGTAATTCATGCATGCACAGGATGAACCCCATTTTACTTAAAGTTTCCATTATTGTTGAATATTATTATTTTCAGTTTTCACTTATAGTAAGTAATTGGCAAAGAACATTTTTGTGTCTGTATTTACAATTTTTTTTTTAGGAAGAAGGAATTGCTGGTAAATTCCTAGAAGGGAAATTCCTAAGTGAGAAGGTATTACTTTTACATTAAAGAGCTGCATATTTTTATTACCAAATCTATTATGTTTACTATTGAGAAATTTAGAGGTTTAGATAAATGAAAATAGTTACTTATAATATCACAACTCAGGGATAACTATCATTAGTTATTTTCATCTCTTTCCTATGATAGATAACTGAGTTTTCCTCAACACGGTACCTCTTGTGTTCTTACATAAATAGCATGTAGATGTGTGGTCTAAGGAATCTTAATAGATTTTTCACAGAGGTTCTAAAAATTACCTTATTAAAATGGCATGTAGGTGTTAGGCTACTTACTTATCCTTAAGAGAACCTGGAATGCAGAACTAAAATCAAGGACATTCTGAAAACTGCTTTTGTTCACTGAAAAGCTGTCCATGTGCATTTTGGGACTTTCATATTTAGGTTTAATTCTTAAACTACTACCTTAAAATCTAGGATTTTTTAAAGCTTTCCAAACAGTTAAAGTTCAAAATTGTCTTTCATAGCAAGGACAGAAACAAGAAAAGGGGATATTACACCATGACTATAATATTTATTGAAGAGAACTTATTTTTTAAATGTGTTTGGACTATATTTACTATTTTTTGCTTTCAAATTTTAAAACTCATTTCAGTAGTCTTGGTATCAATCTTGCACGCACTGGAAAATATTCCAAATTTCAAGAAGCAGTGGTACTATGTGTAATCAAAGGACTTGTTATCAAATAACCACTAATATTTGTATTTAGGCCTATGTATGACCTTAATTGTGTTCAAACAAATTGTATTTGTCAGATAATATACATGTGCTTTATTAGAAACATTTTCTCATCTCTTGGCATCACAGACAAAAAAACAATTGGTAAATTATCCTACTAAATATTGTTCAAAATTATCTTGTTATTTTTCGGGAAGGAGAAAAATGTTCAAAATAAGAGTTGTATAAATTTT